TGACGATGTGTATCCTACACCGAGTCGTATTTGTTGACTTAGCAGTGTTATTGTTGAGGCGAGTGTCATTCAGTTAGAGTTGAGCTTGTTCGTGTTCCGATATGCTCTCTGTGTTACTCTTCTATGCTACAATGGGTTGTGAGTTGTTGGTTATTTGCACATTTGATGTGTTTTTGTTTGGGCCTTGCGGCAAAATAGGAGCGAGATGGTTATTGGGGTGTTGAATGGTTGATTGCGCCTCGGTTATGGTCTTTCCTGTTGGTAGTATGTTGTGCTATCCGTTTTGCCATGGTTATGGTCATGCATTTTGCGTGGTTGTTTTTGACTTGCGTATGGTTGTTGATTTTTTAACATTGTGGCCCGAGGTATTTCATATGGACCGGTGTTGGATGGGGTAGCGGAGTTACGTTGAGATATGATCCTTTGTGTTAGATTCGCGGGTCTTGGTTATATACTATGTGTGATGGGATCATAGCATTGCGTTTGTGGTGGTACTTGTTGAGCTTGCGGGACGGTTCTCTCATATGAGTCATTTTCCATGTTTGAATACATTTGAATTATTGACTATTGGTGCACAGTTTGTGGCTTTAGGTTGTATTGGTGTGGCATGCAAATAGAATAGCTTTGTTTGATGAAATGAGGTCATTGGACCTAGAATGGGTGCTATCGGATTAGATTACGGTATGTTTGGAAGAATAATATCAGAAGTCGGCTTAGAATTTGGCTTTGGTTCTTGTTGGACGAGAGAGCTACATGACTTGTTGATCTGATGAGTGGTTATGAGTTTCTATGTGTTTCTTTCATCATCGGCAGTGTACAAAGGTTTTGAACGAGGTTTTATTTGATATGAGATTTATTACCGACACCGGGTTTGTATTTGAGCAGCTACTGTGATCGAAAATTACTGCTACGAGTATGTGAGTTATGGGATATATCATGTGATTACATCTTGGGTTATGGTTATGACTTGACACAGCTTGTTCAGACTTATACAGTGTGTAGATGCAAGATTCGGGTCATGTAATGAATCGGATGTTGGAAATTTGGTTTTAAGGCTTATCGGTTAAGGTTATATGAAGAATCTCGATCGAGATTGTGTCAATGGGTTTTTATGGATTGAGATGACGTGGGATCACCCATGAGTATGTGTATGACGGGTTTATACAGTGATTTGATGGCTTTGAAACAACTCTTGGCACGTTCGAGGACGAATGTATATTTAAGTGGGGGAGAGTGTAACGACCCGATCGGTCGTTTTGAGCTTTAGTGTTCTGTTCGGTGGTTTGAGACTTTGAATAGCTTCATATGATGTATTATAACTTGCATGTATAGTCGGTTTTTGTTTTCGAGTTGTTCGGGATTGATTCGAAAGAATGACTCTCGATTTGAAAGCTTTAAGTTGGAAGAGTTGACCAAGGTTTGACTTTTGGGTAAACGGACTCGGAATTGAGCTTTTATGGTTCCGATAAGTTCGTATGATGATTTTGGACTTGTACGTATCTTCGGATTTGATTTTGGAGGTTCCTAAAAGAATTCGACTCTATTTCTCGAAAGTTGACAATTTGAAGAACTTAAGAGTTCATAAGTTTGACCAAGAGTTGATTTTGATGTTATTGGACTTCAATTGGTGTTCTGAGACTTTGGATAGGTCTATATAGTTGAATTGAACTTGTGTGCACAGTTTGGAAGTAATCCGAAGTTTTTAAGTGTGATTCGGACACTCTTTTGAAAAGAATTAAGATTTAACAACTGAAGAGAAATTCTATTCGGTTTGAGCCTCAATTCTTTGTTGTGATGTTCCCGTGGGTGTTTTGAGGCATTGGATAAGTTTGGATAATATATTTGTACTTGTTAGTATGATTGGATAGGGTCCCGAGGGAGTAATGTGTATTTTGGATCATTGGTTGAGAAACTAGTTAAGGATTTGCAGTTTGACCATGGTCAATATCGGGTCAAGATGACCTCTTTTTGGTGTTTTGACTGCGCGAGCAGGTTCGTACCGTGTTTTATGATTGAAATGCATATTTTGTGTCCTGGAGGTTCAGAACGAGTTTTGGGAACTAAAACGAAAATTCTTTTGTTGTTGATTGTCTGGTGTAAAATAATTACGAAAATGTCACTTTTTGTCCCTTAAATTTTCAAACTTCCTTAACAACTTCAAAACATCATATCTCCCTCATTTTAAGGCCAAATTGGGTGATTCAAAAGGCTATCTTAGGTGTAATCTCGCAAGGATTATGCTGCGCTTATCAAATGTGATTTTAGGGGTCATCTGGGATCTGATTCAAGATAGAACAACTGCTGCATTTTTTTGTACTTGTTCCGGAATTTAGTCACTTTTTCTCACAAGGTTTTGGAGCTTGGATTTGGGCGATTTTGGAAGGGATTTTCACAATTTGGACTGGGGTAAGCATTTTTTACTCGAATTTGTTTATATTTCATGATTCCAACCTTGAATTTAGCGATTGTTTGATGAATCAAATTGAAGAAATTAGGTATTTTAGTGAAAACTTTTCTAACACATAAATTGATGATTCGAAGGCCGATTTGAGGTCGAAATTGAATGAAATTGGTATGGTTGGACTCGTATCAGAATGGGTGTTCGGAGTTTGTGAGTTTTGTTGGGTTCCGAGGTGCCCGGTGTTGACCTTCTGGGTTGATTTTTTTATTTTAGCTAAAGATCGAAGCTTTATTATTCGAAATCGTTTTCGATGGCGTTTATTTATGATATTAAGTTTTTTTGGCTAGTTTCGAGCTGTTTGGAGGTTGATACACACGGGATGGCGTTTCTAGAGTATTGTTTGGCTTGCTCGGTATTGGATTTGGCTTGTTCGAGGTAAGTAACATACCTAACTTGGATTTGAGGGTATTTAACCCGGGGAACTATGTTATAAGAGATGTATTGAGGTGATGCACATGCTAGATGACGAGCGTGTGGGTATGCACCGGGGTAATCATGATTCAAGTTGACTATTAGACTATGACCGGACTTGTTTTGCTGTTAATTGAGCTATGATTCATGTTAGAAATCATGTTTAGGCTATGTGCTTATTTGGTTGAGACCTAATGAGGATATTTCTATTGTTTTGAATTATCTACTCTAACTGTAATTATATACTCAGTCATGATTCTTTATTGTATATCATATCTTAGTCTTTATTCATCATTCACTGTTAAATCACACCTATCATTGTTTGGGCTGAGTGGTACGAGATTGTGAACCCTTGAGAATTGAGAGATTGATGACTGAGGTGGGCCTAAGAGCCATGTGAGTGTTATTGTGGATCGGGTTGCACGCTGCAGCAGGCCTTATTGGCTTATTTATCATTATGGATCGGGATGCACGCCGCAGAAGGCCTTATAGGGTTTTGATTAGCTCTTGGGCAAGATCCGTCCCTCCGGAGTCTGACATTGAGATGTATATTCCTCATGCTAGACGGTGTATGATAAATTGATAACTTGACATGCATATTGACATGTAGGCATAGAGATGTACTTTCCTCATGCTATCTGATAATGAAATGTCTTATCTGTTGTTGAAAGTTTGGGAAAAATCATAGTTTTTTTTTCCTGATTTACTCATATTTTGGTGACTCCGGTGAAAAATTTGGGCTTTACTGTTATACCTGAAAAGCATGTCTACTTTTCCGCAACTGTGATTGAGTTGAGTATAATATCTTTTGAGTTATTGCTTGTACTGCCTTCATTATATTATTACGAGTTGTTATTTGGCTATCGATGTTGGACTTTGACCGTTTTCCCAGCTCGTCACCGCTTTCAACCTAAGGTTAGGTTTGTTACTTATTGAGTACATGGGGTTGGTTGTACTCATACTATACTTTTGCACCTTGCGTGCATATTTCAGAGCTGATATTGCTATGTATGGCGAGAGTTGGCATTGAAGATGTACCTGCGTCCCGATTATTGCTGCCCCATCTTCACGGTAACTTTAGATTTGTAAATCTGTTTATGTATATTTCAAGCAGAGGATGTATTTATTTCATACCAACTTTGTAAATTCTAAGTCTTAGAAGTTCGTGACATGTACTACCTATCCTTGGGATTTTGTATAAAAAGATCAATTATTTTATTTATTGATTCCTGTTATCCTTTTTTTTGATAAGGTAAAATCGTATTAATCAAAAGGGAGAGAACTCCCGTATACAGGAGGTATACCAAAAAGCAGAGAATTTACATCAGAATATGATTCTCTACAAAAGACGCTCAATCTCCTATACAAGTAGGGGCTATATGAGTGCACCAAAAAGCGATCAAAGATAAAAGACTATTCTTAAGATGTGAAAAAGGAGACTCAATCCCCTCAAAAGCCCCCCAAGCTATCCACATGAGTGCTAACGGGGCGAACTTCCACACCTTTTGCTTTCTTCTTCTACGGAAACTGGCCCAGCTATATAATTTGATTCCTGTTATCCTATTTGAGTGATGTTGTCTATCATTTAGCTTACCTAGTGGGTTGGGTTAGGTGTCATCACGACTAGTTAGATTTGGGGTCGTGACAATACTCTATATGTGCAGCCATTTTGTGCCACACCCTTGGCCATAATAGAAAAACTACCTGCTTGCTCGAGAAACTGTAAAGGAGCAATTCAGTCATGACGATTATAGAGGGAAGCAGTTCCATAACTCTAACGAAATGGAGAAAATTGATACTCCATTCATCCCATTTTATATGAAGGTGTTTGATTCGACGCGGCGTATAAAAACGAAAGAAAGACTTTTGAAACTTGTGGCTTTAAACATGCCATAAGATATTTGTTACTACAAAAATATGTTACTAAGCATAACAGGGATGTTTAAAGCTAAATATTTCTAAAATATAGAAATATTTCCTTTTTTTTGGACAGAGTGATAAAGGAAAGTGTGTTACATAAATGGGACAGATGAAGTATGACATTTGATATTAAAAGATGCACGCATAAATATGGAATATAGCAGCCAAAATAAATTTTAGATTGACAGTCAGAAATTAAAGGACTCACAAGTGCTACTACTTCACCCGGATGCACCACGAAGTTAATATGTTGAAGCACTGGCATCTGTACAGTAGGGAAAGTGTCAGTTTTTCTAATTTCAGCCGCAAAATTCTGTTTTCTAGAATAAGTAAGAAGTTTATACATAAAATCAGCAAGAAAATGAAACTATCAAGAAGATTGTTTCACAATCAGAACATCAAGAATTGAAATCAACTGCTTTATACTCCAAAACACGAATCATATAATCTTTTACCACATAAAAAGTTATACTAACACGCAGATGCAAATAGCTAAGAAAAGGATAAAGTGATCGACATTGTATTTGAGTCTCGTTGCGAAAAGGAATATTTGTTCTCAGATAATGAACCACATGCTGTGAGATCGAATAGACACGTATACCTCCATTCTTGAAGCATAGTAGAAACTAACATTCTCAAATTCAATGCGTCCTGCTAATCCTTTTAACTTGGCTCCTACAACAATCCACAAAGCAGGATGAGAATATGCAGCCTCCGCAAAACATTTTTTTCAGAGTACTTATTGCACCAATGGAGCTATTTCAGCTTACATGAGTTTATTTTTATGCTGCATTTGGAAGGCATTAAACACCTTCCATCAGAAATTCTTTAATTAGGTACTTAAAACTGTCAGCAATTTTGATTGGATGGAACTTTGCATCAAAGAGCGACTAATGTTGTTTAAGGACAGAGGTAAAGCGATTCTACACCCTCCCCATCAGTAGTTGAGAACCCTTGCTTTTATGAACACCTAAATAATTTGTACCTCTAAGTACAAACCACTGCCTCCCCCTTCA